CAAGATGAGACAGGACATGTTGTGGACTATGTAGATTCAGACCATGCAGGTGATCTAGATAAGCAAAGGTCTACTACAAGTTATATTTTTACTCTTGCAGGTGGACTTATCAGTTGGAAAGCAATGCTTCAATCAATCCTCGCTTTATCCATAACTAAAGCGAAGTATGTAACAACGGTGGAATCTGCCAAAGAGCCTTTGTGGTTGATAGGTTTGGTTAAAGAATTGGGATTGAAGCAAAAAAGCTTGGAGCGGTATTGTGTTAGTCAAAATGCTTTTTACTTAGCAAAGAATCAAGTTTATCTTGTCAGGACGAAACTCATCGACATGAGGTATCACTATCAGAGAATGGGTGGAGGATGGTAAGATAAGTTTGATGAAAGTACACACGGAGAATAATGCAGCCGATATATTGACAAAACCAGTGACTACACAGAAGTTCAAGCATTGCATGGACTTGATCAATCTTTCGCATTGTTAAAGATTGACAAGGCATGGGGATGGACATCTCAAATTGAGATACGGGCCTGAAGCTTCAAGTGGAGGTTATAAAATTTTCGCCAAGGTAGAGATTTGTTCGCAATGACTCAAATTTTTGTTTTGATTGGTTGGTGACATCATTGCTAAAAAGACCTATGGTTAGCTAACATAATTGCTAAAAGCTTATTGGATAATACAAGTGAAGCAATTTCATTGCTTGAATGAGATGAGAGTTCTTTTTTAATTGATTAGATGATGTCATTGCTAAAATCTTATTGGAGTATAGAAGTGAAGCAATCAAATGTATTGCTTAAATGTAAATAAATTCATCTGTCACCACCCTAAGATGCTTATAAATAGGCATGAGTCTCTTAGTTTTGAGATTATCTCGAAAATTGTATTTGTTCAATTTTCATTATCTTGTTGAGAGAACAAGAGATTTTATTTATTGGGGGTTTGAGAGGATAAGATTGAGTGGGTTGTACAAGGGATTAAGAGCTTGAGTTTGAGATTTAAACTTGAGGGGTAAGACTTGTACTATTATACCTATTTTCTCTCAATAGTAAAGAAAGAAGACCAAATCACGTCTCGTGGACATAGACAAAACAATTTTGCTGAACCACGTAAATTTTGGTGTTGTGAGTTGTGCTTTAATTTTCTTTATTTCGCTTATTTATTTTCTTATCATTGTACTGACCAAATTGCTGCAAAGTTAATTCCCAATACGGATGCTTGTATATGGCGATATTTAAAAGTACACTTCCCGATATGTTTTACTTTGATATCAATCATAAACCGTGTTTAATAAAACGATAGAATATAAAATTTAAGTGTTCAAAAAATTGATTCCACTATATTATATTTTTTTAATATATATATTATTGTATATGAATAATGTTTAAAATAAAAATTATATTAAATTATAAATTAATCAAATATCAAATATTGAACGATGTGATATTTTTAGGAGAAAAAATATGTAAGAGTAGTATTGAATTACAAAATTGAGTGGAATCGAACTTAGAATTAAATAATCACAATGTATTAATTTCTCAACTTACACAGAGAATTATTATTATTTTTAGTGATGAAGTCGGTCCTGGCCAAAGTTGGTAGCTATAATTTTTCAGAAACTTTTCTTCTTCACCATTTGTTGCATTAGGCCTGTCTAGAAAAGTCTTCAGCCAACAACGTAATTATTAAATATGACGTCAGAATATATTAAAGTGCTTTACAGAATATATTCGTCACTAAATTTTAAAAAAACTTCAGCGACTAACTCTTGTTCATTGCAAAGTAAACAGAATACAATAGACAAGTTGTCTGTCTCATGTTTAATGCCTAGTTTATGTATATAACCGATCCTAGGTTGGTATAAGGAAAAAAAATATTGTGTTATTGGTAACAACAAGGTATAATTCATCAGATCGCTAACGAGCATGGATTGCATACAAGGGCTGAGGCAGCACTGTTCAGGGTGGGCAAGTGCCCCCCTCAAATTTTTTTTTTTTTTATATTACTTAGTAATATATATTGCATATTTGTATAATATATTATTTGTGCCCACCCAAAAATCAAAGACAAAAATATTAATGTACACTTATATCAAAGCATGGATTGCATACAAGGGCTGAGGCAGCACTGTTCAGGGTGGGCAAGTGCCCCCCTCAAATTTTTTTTTTTTTTATATTACTTAGTAATATATATTGCATATTTGTATAATATATTATTTGTGCCCACCCAAAAATCAAAGACAAAAATATTAATGTACACTTATATCAAATGAATAATTTTAATTGTGTCCTCCCTATTTTTTTGGCACATCAATTAGTATATATTTATATCAAATGAATATGAATTTTTTGACATATTTTGAGTTGGTTATCTATTTAAATAAATTTTGAATATAGTAGAATTATTTTATATTTTCTAAAACTAAAAAAATACATAATATACATATTCGCTCGTGTAATTTTGATTTTGACATTTATTTTTTTAATTATGGTAAAAATTATAGAGTGCACATTAAACTGCATAATCGATTAAATGATTTATAAATATCAAAGTGATAATATGATTATGTATCTAAAGAATAATAAAGTTGTTATACAGCATTTTAAAAGTACAAAAATTAACCGAAGTCAATTCTAAATAATTTTAATTAATTACTATTTTGTAAAAAAAATATTATCGTTTGTATATACTAGACTAATTAAATTTCAGTATGGTGGGTTTAATGAAGTTTTAAGTATTAAATATGACGTATTTAAATAAATTATTGTCCTATTTCTATCAATTATAAGAAAAAATAATAATTTGTTGAAATATTTGTCCCCACTTTGACATAATTCTCTGGCTCCGCCCCTGTCTGCATAACCAATTTCAGAGCACAATAGAGGAATATGATCCATGTAGCCAATCCTAAATAATTGAAAACTTGTTCTACTGAATCGACTTAGTTAAATTGAGTTATGATAAATTGGCTAGAGTCTAAGGTGGTAGTTAATGAGTTAGTAAGTAGTATATAAGCGAACTCTAAGGATAACGCAGTGTTTTGGGGTTCTTTTAGTGCAAATTATAAACTCAAAAGTCTTAGATTATTTTTTGTTGTCTTGATTTAACCGATATCTGTAGTTAGTAGGTAATTAAAAAAATTTAGAGTTTGCTAGTTTAAAGTTTACGATCTTGTTTTGTGGGTAAAAAAATTGTAGAAAAAATTTCAGACACACCTCTTCTAATTTATTATATCTTCAAGGACACCCTCTTTATTATCAAAATAATTACTGACACCTCTTATAGTTTATATTTAAACATCGCTGACATTCCCTGCTATTAAACCACAATTTCCAACAAAAGAATATTCATCTAAAATACAAAAAGTGCCCCTACATAAATCCCAAATAATCTTTTTACATAAAACTCGAATAAAATACAAGTTGATTAAAATTTATTTTTTTAGATATTAAAATTTGAGCCAATAAAAATTTGATTCGAGCTGATTAAATTTTTTTTTTTACGTATTAAAATTCGAGCCTATTAAACTTCTTTTTTTAAGTATTAAAATTTGAATCGATTTGAACTCTGACAGTAGGAAAGCAGACCATAGTGGCTATAACGAGTAAGGTAGTCCCCAACCATTGAGATGCTAGCGCCAACTAATCAATGAACTTGAGTTGTAAGTGCCGATTAAAATTCGTTTCGTGTCAATTAAAATTTATATTTTTTATCCATTAAAATTCGTGTCAATTAAAATTTGAGTCAATTAATATTTATATTTTTTATATATCAAAATTTTGGGTGGATTAAAATTTAATGCAAGTTGATTAAATTTTGATTTGAGCCATAAAATTATAATATGATCTCAAAAATTGTACAAAAAAAATTTATCGCAAACAAACTTAAAATTTGGCGGTAAAAATACCCAACATGTTATAACCTTATGAACCAGAATCCACCAAGAACTAAGGTTCAAGCTGTTCCCCTACACACAACCTTCCCTAGCATCCTTTCTAACAGCAAAAGTGTGGGAAGCTCAACTACTAGGAAACAAGGAAAGTGTTGATGATTCTATTTAAACTAGGGTTTCGTGCTTTCAAAAATTTTCTGAACAGTCAAGAGACTATCTCTTCTTAAAAGCATCAGACTCTTGAAACTTGAACTCTTTTTCTCTATTTTACTTTTCTTTTTATTTTTCAATACTATCTCACGGTTGGAACGTCTGATGCACCAATGGCCTTTACTCGGAACCAGAATCAGGTGGTCCATAGCCTAGGTCCCTAGACTAGTAGGGGTCTAGATAGAGTCTAGACTATAGGCCTCACCGACCGGCCACCATTACCAAGGGAGGTAAGTACGAAATATTTACTCAAATATTTGTTGAAAAGAGTAAGAGAGAAAATCAACACTTCCTCTTGTCCTTTTTATGAGTAGCCCCGGTGCAACTTGGCCACCGGAAAATAGTTTATCAGTGGTCCTTGACCATCAAAACTGTTAATCAGTGTTCCTCTGTCATTATATTTTTCTCTTTGTAGATTGTACTTGTTTTGCTTAGTTTTCTTTTTTTAGCGAGAAGAATTCATCTCAATTACGTGTTTTTGGAATCATAAGCGACTTGACAACACTCCAATTTCGAATATACATAGTCATTCACATGCATCAATTGAAGATGAATTTTATATGACGATAAGACGCATGGTTTTATGCCTCACCACTAAACTTTAGTGAAACATTGACCAAACTCATCAATTAGCATACCATGGTGTAAGACAAGTTTTACTATAAATCATTTGCTAGTGTGAGATATCGTAGCATTATTTTGGTGTTTGTTAGCATCCAATCTAAAACGTCCTTAACTTTCTTCTTTTATGCATCATCAAACAAAAAATAATCCTTTATAACTAAGCATAATATGATATTTGATAAATTTTTCATCAAGAGGACATATTTGTATGTGTTTAAAATTGATTGTAACACACACACAAACTTTAAGATGAGGAAGCCAATATCATCTTCATGTCACATCATTTACGCTTCAAAACGATAAATAATTGTGTCCCTTTCATGTAAGTTGATTGTAGCCGGTCTGAAATCTCTACACAGTTTTGAGAAGTCCGTTCAAATAATTCATCAACAACGTCTCGTCCAAAGTGTTGGGAGAACATTCCTTCCATGGCAGCTCTTAGGTGCATTATCAAAGCTTGCACATTAACTGGCGCATCAATCTTCGACCTGGGGTCTGTCAATTCTATTTTCTCAATGGTGAAATTCCCATTTCTTTCTACCAGTCTAGACATCTCCTTGGGGGAGGCAGCATAAATAGGCAAGTTAAACGAGTCCACTTGAGCTTCATCGATAATTCCCTATATTAAAATTGGCCAAGGCAACATCCAAAATGAGAATGTTGAAGATAACTTTCCACATAGAGAGAGAGAGAGAGAGAGAGAGAGAGCAACCATTACCATTACTTTTCTTCTTCTTGAATAGTTTTGTATATACTCCCTAAATTCTATTGTAGATATTTCCTAATACCCCCTTTTACCCTAGATCATCATAAATACTTTTTGAAGATAAAGTAAAGCACCACTTACATTTTTTCTTCGTATCCTAAGCATAACTTACATTTGTTTTGTGTAAGCAATCCCAAATAGTAAACTAGTTATCATCAAATTTGTTTTGAGATCGAGTCACAATTGGCTATTGCAATACATATTTGTCCAGAAAGAGAATGATTGGGATGTAATGTAGGGTGGAAACTGTCATCACTTTAGTCACACAAGAAGTGAAAGATATTGACGCCTATAATCTTGAAATTTTTGTCATAAACCATCAGAACCCAAGGGATTATATACTCATACTTTATATTATTAGTACCATTAAGATTATTCATAATGTTTTGACCACAGCAACATTTGTCTTGAATAGTAATGGATATATTTCTCGAGTTTTACTAAAACAATTCCTAATTTTCTCCCTTTCTCCCTCGATATTCAATCTTGAATACTATTTTAAGAAAAAATTATGTTCCTTCCCTAAACGTTACTTTAATTTTTTGTTGTGTAAGTGATCTCAAATAGTTAACTTCTAAATTTAATGGCTTAAATATGAACAACTAACGATTGACTCACCGCATTCACCATATCCAAGAGGCTGGATCCAAGAAAATCAAATAACACACCGGCTGGGAGATCAGAATGATTAATATCATCTGGGATACCTGGAATGATGAGTACCATCATTCCTCCACCAACAATTTCTTTACCTCTAGTATTCAGAAATATCTCCATGCCCTTTTCAAATTCAGTGGTATAAGCATGGACTACATCATCCGAGGCACCCGTGTAGTGAATCCTTCCTTTGTTCCACGTAGGAGAGTTTTTGTCGAGTAACTTTTCAGGCACCTTAGAGAGCCATTGTAATGCATAAGCAGAGTGCACAAAATGGAGAGAGGAAGAGGGGAATAATAACTCATAGAAAGAACCTGGCACCCCTGCGGCAAAGTATTGCCTATCAGGGGAGAGGGAGGCGAAGAGGGAGTTGAAATCATTGGAAACGTGATCATTGAAAAACACTTGGAATTCAATCTTTTCTGTAGATAGGCTTTGGGAATAATATTTATTTTCCACAGCTGCTATCACATTTTGCATGGAAATAAAGGTATTTGGTCCTACTGAACATCCTAAGTCTGCAATACGAATTGTTGGTGAAGTAGAAGTCAGGCTTTTCACATCAAGCTTCTCAGCAATTGCCTCATCGATTATTTCCTTTACAATGTTTGAAGCTTCTCTCTGAACACAAGCCAAACATAAATTGATTTCATCGCTAGTAATTGTTATTATCATCATGAATGACGTGCACTAAACCATTCTCTAGTTCAGAAAACTCGACTCTTTTTGGCAAACCACAAAGACAAAATTGTGGTTTAATCTCTAATAAATGGGCAGGAATATCTTATAGCTTTTGATAACTGCTAAGCACACAGAAAGAAAATAAGCATTCATTGAGTACTTGTGATGCAAAAGTGCAGCACAAATCCCACCACCCTGTCAAACTACTTATTGATAGATTGATTTCTCTTGACATAGAATAGCAAAATGAATCTTATTTTTATACACAACTATTGGTATTGCTTAATATCAAAAGTATTTTACATGAAACTTTTGCACAGTTTTATTAAAAACAGACAATTTTGTTACTTTTGTCTGTGATTGAGTGTCCAATGTCAGAATTTTGTTATTCACGGGTGTAAATTGAAAATTTAAAGATATTTCGAAGTGTAAAGTGTCAATTGTCCTTTATTTTATTTTTTTGGTTTATGACAAGATGACAGAAAAAACACAAAAGTAATCAAATTCAACCAGTGGAATTACAGGAGTTCAAAAGCTAAACCCAAGCGTCCACTCAATAGACACTAACTTTTGATTTTTAGTTCTAAATAGGATTACTCACTTCTAAAACGGTAATAGATCTATCATGCTACCTATTATAGGTCTTTACAGGGGGAGAGAGAGAGAGGCAAAAAACATTTATTACAAACATAGGTTTTTTTTTTTTGGTCTGTATTACCAACATAGTGGAGTACCTGATATTGGGAGTTCTTAGTGTAGCTGTAGGTGCCATCTCCACCATTCATCGGAAATGATTCCGCCATCGTGGCTCTCTCTCTCTCTCTCTCTCTCTCTCTCTCTCTATGAATTGATTTTCTTTTCCTTATGCCCAATACTACATCGGATGCATATATTTATATTGATGGGTTTGTTTGACAACAGATGTTGAAATTTGTAATAGCATCTTATATTCGGTATTTTGTCCGTTGCTAAACATTATTATTTCTTATTTCACAGGATTAGTTTTGGATCTCTAATTGATTATATAATGATAAAAACTGTGTTAGGACAACTTCATTGGTTTATTCTTCGAGAGATGTGATCGATTTATACGCAATGCTAAGAAACCTAATTTAAGAATCTAATGATACCGAATTAAATTTGATAAACAAAATGAAAATTAAAAATGAAACGTAGACATATATGTTGTATATAAATTGATAGAACTCTAAGCTGGCTTTGCATGTTTGAAAAATCCTAAAAATTGTCCTTTAGTTCTATTTGTCTGTTTTGCTTTGGGGATTTCTAAGTACCAATAGTCTATATTATGAGGAATGCTATAAAATTCAAATAAAATCTAAAAAATTATAATCTAAATACATATCATTTCTTAGATGAGTGAGTTATATCAATTTTTATAGTGGGGCTTACTTATTCCGCACTCATCCAATGGATGATATAAATTTAAGGTTTTAATTTTTTAGGTTTCTTTTGAATTATGTAGTATTTTCCCTATATTATTGGAATAACTTATACAGCCATCATGCTTCACTAACGCTTTCTTAGAACAAATTTCCATTTTTCAAATTATAATCTTTCTCTCACTAGCATAAAAAAGATTAGAGGTCATCATTTAATTTAAGTCTCGGTTAATTGGAAGTATTGAGACAAATAGATCAGATATGATGGTGCTCGAAATTGACTAGATTAGACTACAGAACAACTTAAGATATGTGGCCCAGCGAATGCGTATGTATATATGAGTATATGCGTATGTGTGTATGATGCAAGATGAAAATAACAGTATGAGTGGTTTGTCTTAGCCGAAAGATTAAGTTTATATCTACTGTAAAGGAGGCTCTTGTTTATTTGGAATTTTATTGCTTAGGAAAGAAGACTGTTATTACAAGATGTTTGACTTAAAGCCTTTACAGGATATTGCCTAGGTTATTGTTGGGTAATTTTTCTGAATTACCTCTCTGTAGTATTGTTAGCTATTTAAACATTTGATAGTTAGGGTTTCATATTGATCTTTTATTGTTGATTCTATGGTTCCCTCTGTGCTTGTCTTGTTGTTGGAGCTATGGTACCTGACGCCTCTCTGCACCCACTACTCTCCGACTGCAATACGTGAGTCATCTTCAATACCAGTGGGATTTCATTCACCAGAGTTGTCAGATTATGTCCCCTTATTCCCTGTCCAAGTGTCACGTTACAACTCTTGCAAACTAGCCTGGTGTCGTGCTTTCATTTTTTGAGCTAGTACCTATATTGGGCTCATTAACGTTGAGTTGACACCTATTCCAAGCTCATTTGCATCGGGCCTTAATTTATGGAATTGGGTCGTGGTCTAGTTCAAGCCCAATGTATGCTGTCTAGATGGAATGTTTGGCCGACCTTCTATGAGCCCAGAGAATTTTGGGCTTTAGAGAAGGCCCAGACTTAAATCCATTATCATCAAGATACAATATTAATTTGTATTTAAATCAACATATTTTGAGATATATATCTTTAACATTACAAAACTATTCCCCCATAAAACACACAAGCAAACTTTGGGAGAGGTTTGGGGAGCCTAAGAAAATCTTCAACTCGCATCATTTACGCTTCAAAACAACAAATAATTGAGTACCTTGCTTGTTGCTTGACTCCAGGTGGTGGAAAATCTCCACACATTTCAGAGATGCCCATTCAAAAAGTTCATCAATAATTTTAGGTCCAAAGTGTTGGGCGAAAACTCTTTCCATGGAAGCTCTAAGGAGCATTATCACAGATTGCACATTAATTGGGGGCATCAAACTTTGACCTAGGCTCTGTCAACTTCATTTTCTCAATGCTAAAACTCTCATTTCTTTCTATCAGCATAGTCATCTCCTTGGGACAGACAACATATATATGAAAGTTAAACAAGTCCACTGGAGCTTCATTGATAATTCCCTGTAATCCAACAAAATACATATTTATGCAGAATGATAAGGGTCAAGGTGTCAACTATTATCAATCTAGTCTGACAAGTAGTGATAAGTTGCGATCAATGACTCATCGCATTCACCATATCCATGAGACTGGATTCAAGGAAATTAAATGTCACGCCAGTTGAGGTCTCAGAAGGTTGAAAATCATCTGGGAGACCTACCATAATGAGTACCATCATTCCTCCAGCAATTATTTCTTTAGATCTAGCATTTAGAAAGTTCTCCATGTCCTTTTCGAATTGAGCTGCGCAAGCATTCCTTACTTCATCTGAGGCACCTATATAGTGAATCTTTCCCTTATTCCACGCAAGGGATTTTTTGTCTAGCAATTTTTTTGGGACCTTAGAGAGCCAGTGAAGTGCATAAGCCGAGTGCACAAACTGGAGCGACGACGAGGGAAATAACAACTCATAGAAAGAACCTGGCACACCAGCGACAAAGTATTGCCTATCAACAGGGAGGGAGGCGAAGAGGGTATTGAAATCATTGGAAATATGATCATTAAAAAACATTTGGAATTCAAGCTTCTCCGAAGGTAAGACTTGGGAGTAGTACTTCTTTTCCACAACTGCTATCACATTTTGCATAGCAATAAAGGTATTTGGTCCAACTGAACATCCCAAGTCCGCAATACGAATTGTTCTTGAAATAGAAATCATGTTTTTTACATCAAACTTCTTAGTAATTGCCTTGTTGATCATTTCCTTCACAACGTTTGAAGCTTCTCTCTACAAATAATCAAAATATACACATCTTGGTCAACATGAATGATGTGCAACCTAAAACATCTTGTAGTTTGGAAACATAGCATGGAAGATCATCAAATAGAAAATTGTGGCTCAATCCCTAATATTTAGACAATAATATCATTGAATTTTATACAAATGAAGTAAGCTAGGTGTTGTTAAATGCTTGTATGCACAGTCAAAATGAACACCTTATCCATTAAATGCTTAGTAATGATAAAAATGGCTAGTGATGGTCCGACCTAGACTAGTCCCAGCTCAGAGTTTCAGTTTAAAAATGCAAACTAGATTCAGTTCAAATATACAGGTCAAGTCCACTATAGGATCAAGGAAGTTCAATCGGGTCAGCCTCGCCATCTTGAGAGACTCAATCTACAACTGACACACGAGAAAATATCCGTGGGACACAATCATCTGGTGCACACGAGAATGGCGCCACCTCCACTGAATTGTTTCAACTGTTACAAGAATGGTGCCTCAATCTTTTAGGAGCCACCTATAAATTGTAAGTTCAACCTACACAAGGGGACATCACTCACAACACTTTACATTTCTTGAGCAATAAAACACTTAGGCCACCGTAGCCCTTTACAACAGATTAGGTCACCTTGACCAAACTCTTTAATTTGTATTTACTTATGTTAAATCTCCTTCTTAATTACTGCATTAAATACTTAATAAATAATGTATAAATACATTTTGTGCATAATCACAGAGCATATATAAATAGAAAAAAATAGGCAGTGAGGATAGGCAACAAGTTTCATTCCTGTTGCAAAGGCGGCTTGCCCGTATTAGGCGCACCGATGTATTATCGCGCATTTTGCTTCCTATAATGGGAGGGCTTTTAGGCAATGGTTGTGACACCCTAAAATCCGGGTGTCTGTAACTATCTGATTGATCATCCATCGACCCGCGAAATACTGGTGGATATCGTGTAATTCGATACCATACCGTTATGTCCCATTTCTCGGGATCTATGACTTAACAAAATTTGGACAGAGTCTCCTTTGTACGAGGAGCTCTACCCAAAACGCAACCTGTACAATATTGACCACACCGGGTCTATCCATCCATTCACCATTATATAGTCTCGCATACTACCATAATCATTATCAGTACATACATTTATTCGTAAGAGAATAAATGTCTCAAAAGGGTCTCATATACATGCATTTGTAAATATAAACAAATGTTTGTTACAAAAATTATACAAGGTCAAAAGTAAATATAAACAAGGGACTACAATGTCAAAATAAAAGCCACAGACCGGCTCTGTCGTCAAAGTGGGCCCATGGCCTCGCCTTCGGTGGACGCCTGTGCGATACCTGAAAAATATTCCCATAAAGGGTAAGTCAACGCTCAATAGGGTAACTCCTATAGAGAATACCTCTCAACCTAAATGCATATGGAATGTCACATGCAACAATCATTTGATACATTCATTCAAATATGTCTATTATGATCGAATGTCATAAATCATGTCATGCCATGAGATGAGATTCATGCAAGCAATACCAACCCCGAGCCCTATCCTGAGCTCCATAACACATGCAATGTCATGCGTATGTATTCGGGTACTTCAAGCCCCCATCATTGGTGTTATGTACACACAATGACTAATTAATTCATACCTGAAAAATATTCCCATAAAGGGTAAGTCAACGCTCAATAGGGTAACTCCTATAGAGAATACCTCTCAACCTAAATGCATATGGAATGTCACATGCAACAATCATTTGATACATTCATTCAAATATGTCTATTATGATCGAATGTCATAAATCATGTCATGCCATGAGATGAGATTCATGCAAGCAATACCAACCCCGAGCCCTATCCTGAGCTCCCATAACACATGCAATGTCATGCGTATGTATTCGGGTACTCCAAGCCCCCATCATTGGTGTTATGTACACACAATGACTAATTAATTCATTTTCTTGTGTCTTTGTGGGGAGGTGATTTATGGTATTACACCAATGGGATACCAACCATCAACGGATCTTCAGGACATCCCACCTGCGGCTCCGTTTTCGCCGTTACACTTTTCTGGAATTTCACCACCGGAAAGTGTATAAACCAAGTAAGCGGGTCTTGCAC